GGAAAATGAGATTGCAAAGAAAATAACCTATTACGTGTTCGGAAAGTCCGTTTGCAGGGTTTGTGACGTTGTATTCGGGTTCTGGGGGGAGACTGAACATATGTACAGGGTACATAGCATGTGTGTCGATAAGTTTAACGCAGGAAAAAACATCCTCATCCTGTGGTTGAAAAGGTTATTTGAGTGTTTTTGAACAAATTGTTCTTCAATAATGACACTCCCAAGCACATGTACTGCATGAAGACTTGCAAGTCTTTTCTGATACATGTACGGACTGTAACTACATACAACTTCAAAACATTTTTGAAGATGAAAACAGAGTAGATTTGAACATGTATCTTAACAACAGGCAGATCAATGTTAAAAAACAAGTGATACTTGGGGTCATATTTATGAAGTCTGAAAAGTTCAAATAATATGAAATACATATAAAACATGTACACTGTTAATAAACGTATGAATAAACATTTAGGAACTGGTTATATACATGCATTATGTTTTATGTTCAACAATTCAATTTGACCATTTTTTTTTTTATTTACAAGCCCAATTTTTATTGTGCGGGGTAAACCTAAGGGATCAATGTAGAACAATTATGAAAAGATTATAAAAATCTTACATTGAAAAACATAAACTAACAGTTATTGTGTCCATAAACTTTTAAAGAAAATGTAAGATTTGCTTAACATAAATTAAAAATCAAAGATTTTTTTATATATAAATTCACTGATTGCTATTCTTTCAGCTCTTCTCATAACTTTTATAACGTGTGCCTGCCGAATTCAATAACATCTGATGATATATAAGACATTTAGAGACAAACAACGAAAAAAAGTTTAACCACTTCCAGGTTGAACGTTTTGTTTTATTATTTGTCTCTAGTACACAGATTATAGCATCACGTAGTGTTTTGTACAATATTATATTCCTAGTCTTTGAGCAAGTTTTGTGACAGCAAAGGAAAATAAAACATTTGGTAGGCAAAGAACCAACAGGATAACTAAAAAAAGATCAAGGTTAAAGAAAGGGTCATATGTTTCAGGTATCTTTGAGCAGATACTCATAACACAGGGTTAGTTATAAAAGTAGTCACTGGAATACATACAAATTTTGAGACACAAGGTTGTATGTAATTTTTTTAACCATGTCTGCACAATAATTTTTCTATTTTAATCATAGACCTTATATTTGCTGGGAAATAGGGGGATGCATTCAAATCGTGATTATCTCATATCCTCATTCAACAACAATACCTGACAGGGGTGTGGAGAGTTGTAACAAAACCAATCCCCATTGAAGACTTTTTCTATTTTCTTGATTTTTCAGCATGCCTAGACAGACAGAAAAACAGACAGATGTTTCAGAGGTAAGAGTTGTCTTGACTATTTCATGCAGGCAGCTGAGCTGTACTATGGATTTATTTTAAAATGCAGTAGATATACAGGTAACATGCAAGTAAAGGTAACTTCTTGTTAAATATTGCAGCTGTTACGGTGCAAATTATATGTATAATGATGGTTCATTTTTTGCTGTTATTCTTTTCTCTCATACGGTTACAACTGACCCTAACTAGTTTAACAGCTTACTTTGAGTTGCAACAATGTAACTCTTTGTATTCAAAACCAGTTCTTTAAATCGCCTTTATAATTATTAGAATTCTGACTAACATTTGTAGCAGACAGATAAAGATATCTTGTGTTAAAATATGAGAGGTAAAAAACCGGCAGTTTCCCGGACAGAGATTAAGCCTAGTCCTAGACTAAAATGGCCCTTTAAACCAGATTAACAGAAATCTGCTTTCTCTGCTATGGTTTTAAATAGTCTCAGACTTAGCCTATAGTCCAGAATTTAATAGGCTGATTTCCTGGAGGAAGACCTCGATGGTCCTTTTGGATCATTGTTCTGTTGAAAGATCCAACCGTGGTCCATTATAAGGCTTTCTGACCCCAAGACTTAACTATTGTCTGCAATTATCCAGCTGTGATCCTTGGAGAGTCTTTGGCCATTCAAACTATCCTCACATTGCATTAAGACAATAGACACATAGACAATATACTGTAGGCAGGTTTGGAACAGGTTTGGAACTCCTTAATTATTGTCCTAATGGTGGAACTGAAAATATTAAATGATTTA